TAAGTAGTTTACAAAATATTAATTTCTTAAATAAATCGTTTTTATTGCTAGGCAAATGTGCCAATGTATCTAATGTAAATTTCAAACAAACAACTGAATTTGATTGAATTTTTTTCAAACAAAAATATCATATATCTCTTATTTTCATAACACAGATTGGTTTATAATAACAAGTATATCTATAATTAGTTAATGATTGACCTGTGTAATTTAAGGGAAAAAATAAAATGCATTATCGTGATTATAATATTACATTATACAGATCTATACTCGTAGATAAAGAAATAGGCCTTTTTTATGGATAGTCAAGATGAAGATGAAATCTTAAATGTGGCTAAAATATAAATAAGCAGAAAAAAAAATTACAATCCTAATATTATTTTTTATTATCATATGATTTAGTTTTAAATCATTATAATTTTGTATTAGTGTTTTAGTTGCACTAATGCATTTTTGTAACAGCTATAATGTTTACAGTTAATCATTTACTTTCATTTACTCACTCAGGATTATATCTTACTACAACATCACATATCATTGAAAGTAAATATTATACTAATTATTATTGTAAAACTTAATATACTAATTTATGCTCGACTGTATTAATTAATTATATCACACCATGAATTTTTAAGTTAATTATGAGTTTCTGCGTTTTGCTGAACATTAGAAATTTACAAATTTTATTTAGTTAGGGGTTATTTAGTTAGATAATGTGAGTACTGATGTACGGTCAGTATGGAAAAACCATACTGATGACTGATGGAAAAATCGGATATCGAGTCGTCAGTATTTATTTACTGATGATTATATTGATAGTCTGAGGTCGATATTGACACTTCATCAGTATTGGCATCACAGCGAGGGATGACGGAAGTGAATCCACAAGTCGCGAATTCCGCGATCGGGCCATTTTGTGTGATTTTATTTCGGAGTACAAACAATTATCCGAATTGTGGGATGTTCGTTGTAAAGAGCACTCCAATAGAGATAAAAAAAATTCGGCCTATAAAAAACTTTTAGTTTATTATAAACTTTTGAAAAACGACTTTACAATTGAAGATGTAAAAAAAAAATTAATACATTAAGAAGTAACTTTAGATAAGAGCTTAAAAAAATTAACGACTCTAAAAGAATTAATTTACAGTATCAACAATTGATCTGAACTACTGTGAAAGTATTTCAACTATTAAGTATTTCTTTTATACTTGTAAGTTCTTTTTTTCAAATGTCAGCCAATATATATAATATATATAAATATATATATATCATATATATTTAAAAAAAATTAGAATGCAAAAAATTTTCTGGGTTAAAAAAATACTGTGAAACCAGATGGGTTGAAAGACATGAGGCTCTTTCAATATTTGTTGATGGTTTTTTAGAAATTTTTTCTTCGTTAGAAGATCTAATGACTTGAGAAAATTACTAAAAAGCTATTATTTTACATAAGTAATTTTCAATTTTTAATGACATGCTCTATAATGGAGAGGGTACTTGGTATAACATACACAATTTCCAAATATCTACAAATGGAAAACATAGATATTGTAACTGCTAAAACTTCAATAGAAACGACTACTACAACGTTACAAAATTTAAGAACTGAAGTAGAGTTTCAATGAATCTATGAAACTACTATAAAAGTGGCTGAACAGGTTGGTGTATCTCCTATTATCCCAACAACAGTGGGAACTCAAAAACATCGGGTAAATAATGCTGTTAATAATAGTGATTATTGCTCATATTATAGGGTATCAATTATTTATCCGTATATAAATGATTTGCTCTCATCTTTTAATGAAAGATTCAAGTCAAATTCACATTTAATTACTTCACTTTCTTGTCTGTTATCCTCTAAAATAATAAATAGCACATTTCAATATGTTAAACCAGCTATAGAGTTTTATAATGATGACTTAAGTATAGATTTCTATAATTAAATCCTAAAAGGAGAGTTTGAATTAATGCAAATTAAGTGGAAAACGAAACCATTATGCCAACTAATTCTCTCGATAAATTATTAAATTTTCCAGAAGATATTTTTCCAAATATGTATACATTGTTAAAAATGTTTTCAATATTTTCAATATGTTACAACAGCTTCGGTCGAAAGAAGTTTTTCTACTCTTAAACGTATCAAAACCTACCTAAGCAATGCAACTAGTAATGATAGACTGAATGGTCTAGCATTAAGAAATATACATCGGGATATAGATTTAGATACAGAATCAATATTAGATGTTTTTGCCAATAGAAAAGAGAGACGTTTGAATTTTAAACTGTAAGTACTCCTAATATAATTTTAGAAAATTTATTTTTAAACTGCCCACTACAAGTTGTTATTTTTCTTTTTACTAGTTCGTTATTCAGTTTTATGATCAAATAATATTCTGTTATTTTTAATATTTAAATTTTGTTTTAATACATTATAAAAAAAGACAATTTTATTATTTAAATTTAATTATTTTCTTCATTATATAATCTCCTTTGTTTTTATTTATCCAACTTGTGTACGCTATGGCTTATAATACTATTTGAATAAAAAATGAATTGTTATGTAAACAAGTTAATATAACATTATTAATCTAAGGTTTATAATTATGTTATGTACTATAAGTTGCTAATATAGCTAACATAGTTGTATAGTGATAGAAAAAAGTACGTATATGTTTATTGTTTTTATATCAAGTACTTAATAGGTAATAAGTAGATATTTTAGTATTACAAAAACTAAAGATAAAAAAAGTTCTCCCCCCCCCAAAAAAAATGTCTGGCTACGGCACTGACACGTGTATAAATATATCGTCGCAGACTGCAGTACAAATTATCAAATATATTATCTTAATATTATATCTTAAATCGACTATGTAGACTGTAGATTATATAAATTTGGATTTTTCAAACAACTTTTAGTAAAGTTTCGGTAGGTATAGACTATGGGTATGGACGGTACAATGGTGAATAGTGTGTTGACGACGTAAACTTAAATATGGCGTAGAAATTTCTAATATTTTTGAATCTCGGTGAGAAAAAACGATGTTTTAATATTGATACTTATAAATTTAGTGGATATCGTGTTTTAATGAATGGATGTTCAAATTTTAGAAGCACTAATAAAAAATGTCCTGTGAGTTTTATTATTAATAAATCAAACAAAAACATTTTGTATATGTTTTAATTTCAAAATATTTTTTATTGTAGAATATATTCAAAAATCGATTATGTTTCATGAACTTTATTATAATGAGTGAAAATAAATATTTTAACCATTTAACAAATAATAATTTATAATTATATAAAACAAAAACAATATTACGATATTATAAAAAAATTGCTCAACAAACGATGATAACAAGTACATATAAAAATGTTCTCGCCATGTACGAGAATTTTGATATATGTCCGTGATGGCAAGGATCGGACAATATAACATGTATGAGCTAGTCACACGTACGTAGGATATCCTAAACATATATGTGCAATGTCGATTTTGCTCATGATTGGGCCTCCAGCAAAAAATTTACAATGGGCCCCGAAATAACATAATATTAGAATGAAATTCAATAAATACCCATTAAAAAAAATTTTTTCTCGCTACCAATATTAATTTATTTTGGTTTTTATATTTTTCTGAAGCCAATATTATTGAATTATTATTGTGTTGGTGTATGTGACCGTTTACAACCCTTATCTCAATTTTTCAAAGTATTTGTATTTGTTCGATTTTGATCAAGAGAACAAAAATCTATAAACTATAGCCATTATACATAATTTTACTAAATCACGTTAACAATATTTCAAGATAAAGATGAGAATGACATAATTTTAATTTAATTCAGAAAAATGATTACTGTGATTTTTCATATTAACTTGGTTGCTTTGCGCCCAGAGGCAGATTTAGGAGAGGTTCTGGAAGTCAGCTGATCCACAATAAAAATTTGTTGATAAAATTAGACTCTTAAATACTTCATATATTTTTAAGTGTGCCGACTATAAATTGAAGTTAAAACTAAACTGGCAAATGCCCCAGTTTCCAGTCCTTCCCCAGCCAAATGATACCATTGGTTTAATTGTGTAGTAAAATAAAATATCTCTATGCCAGACCCCATGGGAGATTCCATAAAATAAGATTAATGTTGACAATGATAATTATGAATAAACTTAAAAAACAAATATTATACTCGTATGATCATATTGTTTTTTTTTTTTTTTTGTTACAAAAAATACATTTATAATCCACTTTCAGCTTTAAAAAATGGCCTCTTGAAATAGTCTGACCCACAGTTCTCTAACTGATGATTTTCTACGCACTTCATTATTTTCGAGAAAAATGTAATTTATTATTTAGGTGTATATTATACAGAACTATCAATATTTGAATAATTAAAATGTGTAGGTATCAGTTCTGTGTGTGCAAAAGTTTTCAACAATAAAGACGATTTTTAAAGACACCACCACGCTACACAGTGACAACAATATTTCGTGTGAACAATGTTCAACAATAAAACACCGTCGAGATAACTTATTAAGACGTATTAAAACCTCTCATGGTATATACATTTATAAATTATTTGTATGCTAAAAAATAATTTTGTTAAAAATTGAAATATTGAGTTACGTAATCATGAATATTTTTAACATTTATTTAATTAAAAATGCATGAAACTATCAATTTTACAACTAAATGATTTCAATTGGACAGATCATTTTTCATAATATTTTCTTTTTGTTTACCGTAATATTGTAGAAACGTCTTGTAACCGTTAAAAAATGAAAACATGATAATATGTAAAAGATATGCTCGATAAAATGTCTAAATAAAAATGCCTAAAAATGTAAAAATATGCCCTATTACATATAAATAAGCAATGAAATAGTAAATAATATTTATTATAACTATTAAAAATTTAAAATTTAAATAAAATAGATGAATTATTTAAAAAAAAATTGAGTATATTTACATTTAGAATAATAAATATATAAATTGAAAAAAATAACGTGTCTTCTTTTATTTTTGTTTGAATCTGAAAAATTAAGTTATTCATTAAATTTTTTTTTTAATTAATTTCAAACGTATTTCGTTTTACTTACTTAAATGTGCACTACCTACAGTGAATAATCAATGTTTTTGAGATATTTTTGAAGTGCATAAACTGTCGTCTACCTATCAAACAATGTTTAAATTTAGAAAATCTTCGCTAAACATCTGCCGATGTGATAGGTGTGTATTTAAAATAAGTTGAATCGTCAGGTGTTAAATTTTTTTCTGTCTTCAAACATTTTTTTTTATTTTTGTTAAAGTTTCTTCAAAACAATCATTTATATAATGTTTTCTTGGAGTAGATTTGTCAGTAATGCCTGTAAAACAGTAATTCGACATTATTATTATTATTATTATTTTTAATGGCATATTATTCGACAATAATGCTTTACATAAATGATAAATGGTTCTTTAGTAGTTGGTGCAGACTGCACGTTTGCTATAATTCGTTTTTATCGGTATTTAGTTTTACACTACTGAAGTGTTTACATATATATGCTTGACCGAAACCAAATTCAAATTATTTATCAAATAGTTCGAATAGAATAAATAAAATGGGGAATATATATGTACAATTTCAACTTGGTTAACAATATTAACTTGTTGTTTTCTGATTAGAATTTGATTTTGAATTTAGTACCACATTATCTTGTTGTACAGTTATAATATTATACTATAATATAAACATCAAATCTGTTTGAATTAATATTATTATTATTATCATAATCATCAACGCAACGTGACAATTACTGTCTTAAGTAACATAAAAATACATTTCAGAATAAATAATAATTTCCAGAAATATGTTAATAACGAACGTGAGAACGGTAAGTATACGGATATCGTAAATTAAATTCAGATAAGGTAATCCGAGATTAAGTCTTCGATTTATAATAAAGATATAGTAAAACTCACGTACAAGACCGAGCTACTAAAGAAGACTGTTGCAGAATTATTAACAAAAATGAACGAGATCAAAGGTACTCAATGTTACGAGTTCGCAAGAATAAACAGGTCTATTACCTTTAGATAATATATTATAACTATGTTATATTCATTTCCAGTTGATTTTAAAATACAGAACAAGTTGAAAAACTTGGAGTTAACTTATCTGAGAGAGAGAGAGAGAGAGAGAGAGAGAGATGTGAAAAGTGTGAAAATAAATAAAACTATTACAAGGTATGAAAACAAATGAATATTATAATATTTGAAAATATTACATTAAATATTTTCTTTTAGATAATTCACCAAAAAATGTTCTATTAAAATTTGATCGTTTACAAAGCACATTGAAATTAATAAAAGAAGACAATGAATCCTTACCAACACAAAACGATAAAAATTATGTATAATAGTACACATATACGAGTACATAATAAATAAAAATAAAAAATGAATGTAGTTATAGTTTTTTCTAGAAAAAAAACGCAAAGAAAATGAGTTCGACGAAAAAGTTAAATTAAATCCAATAGCTGCATTACAAGAATTATGTGCATTCCAACAATAGACAATGCCACAATATAAGTTTTTCGAAATAGGTGTAAGTGGAAATTTATGTTCGACAGAGTGCACTATTATGACGTGCACAATCAAAGGTAGGCAATTAATTTAAAATGATAATCATGTCAATATTTAGTGATAATCTTTTGTACCAATTGCATGAATAGCCAAGGCACATAATATAAAAGAAGCTAAGCGTCAAGCCGCTACCATTATGTACCATACAGTAAAAATAGATTTCAGAAGTAGCGTTCCTTTGGGAAAAAATTAAAAAAAAATTCAACCTGAAAATCAGCCCAAAGGTAAAGGAATATCCGATGATTCATGTGTGGACACGAAAGCGGGTATTGACGACAAGCCGGCCATCGTCAATGTCGTTGATTACGTTGACTCAAAAACTACTAAAATCAAAGCGATCCACCAAACGCACCCGAATAACGAACTGACGAAAGATATAAAGGACATTATCAATAATGTATCGACTGTGAGATCAGGAGAAAACGTATGCAAATTGACAAAAATATCACAGGTCATGTCATGATGCATTAAGAAACGTCTACGAACACGACTGTATCAAGACAGTTAAAACTACTGTGAACGATGAGAAGTATAATACAATTAAAAATAAACAGAATCAAAATCTAGATTTGCGTTTTTTTTTCAGAAAACAATGCAAAGAAAATAAATTTAATTATAAATTATAAATAAAAATTAATTTTAAATTGAATCCGACATTGCAAGAGTTATGTGCGTCTCGTAAATAGATACTACTGACCTATGAATTCTTTAACGAAGGTGATAGTAAAAACTTTCACGTATAAAGTAGTGTGCACAGTTATGACGTGTACAGTCAGAGGTAAGCGATTTCATTGCATTTCTTATCATATAAAACACATTTACAATGTTCTTTTTACCGATTGAACAGTCGATGGATTGACGAAAAAAGTAGCGAAAAATCAAGCCGCTACGATGATGTACAATAAATTAAGAAATATTACCAGTAATATCGTCACTTTGAAGAAAAATATCCACGAAAACAAGGTAAAGGATAACGGGATATCCGACGACCCATGTGCTGGACTGAACAGAGAGTCGGCAATCGCCGCTGTCATCGATGCACCAGTACCGACTTTGGATGATGATAAGAGAGCTGGCAAAGTCAATAAAAGACCAATGCTCGAAATGTCTAACCTGATCGGGGTATACCGGTATGGATAGTTCACTCTTGGCTACAAGAAGCCCTGACCACGACAAAAACCACAGGTCACCAATGAACGAATTGTTTATCGTTAACGATGACGAAAAAGTTCTACTAAAGTTCTACTGCATACACTGATCTCATCAATCGTCTTCGACTATCGAAATATCAGAGTGTTCGCAAATTAAAGATAATCGCATTCGTCTTGCCTATCCATAACCATATGTAACACATAACCAATGTGTATTATTTTGTTATTTCACAAAGAATTAAACATGAGAGAATAAACATGTTAACAATTCCTTCTGGTGTTAATTTCTTGGAACGAATTTTAGATAAAGAAATGCTAAGATTGACATTTGACATTTGTGAATCCTCTACACTGACGATAAGTACGTTACGATTGTTTCAAAAAATCGACATTCATCGTATTTAAATAAACCGTTATATAACTTTTATATTTTTAGGAAAAGTTTTCAATGTTATTCAAATCATGATAAACCCTGGTGAATTGTTGGTCGTTGGTTTCGGGGAAACAATATTTGATGCTCAAGAAGATGCAGCTCATGAATTTTTGACTCACATCAAATAAATTCTGATTGAATAACTAAACGATTACTAAGTAGTAGATAAAAGTTTGAAAGTAAATTAATATTTATCACTCAATATCTACTGTGGTGAACAATCAACGGCACTTATCCGTAATTTATTTTTTGTTTGTATATTTATATAATATATATTATGATGAAAAATGTTATAAATAAAAATTACAAATGTATGTACTTATATTAATTAATTAATTTTATTTTACAAATCTATATATCCTGATGATTGCAGTTATAATAAAATAGTCTGATACATTCGAATGAATCAGAATTTAAAGAGCTGCTCGGTTAGACTGACTCTACATATGTGTTTATATTATTAAAATAAGATCCGTGTTACTAACTTGTGGTTCTCAGAAATGGATACTTTGCCTAGTATAATCCGACCTTCAATACCACCCTAACTGCCAATAATGCCCTAGGGCAACAAAATTTGATGCCCCCAATTTTTTCGTTGTAAAATTGACTCCACACTTTTAGCGTATAATTTACCTCATTCCTTAAATGTGTTTAATATTTAATAATTAAAGCCCCTACTTATTTATTATTATTATTATTATTGTAGTCATATTTCATTTTTTTTGATGTTATTTCAAAATTGACATTTCATTATTTTGACTAAATTATAGAAAAATTACTTTTTTCACAAAACTATAAATAAAAATTATAAAAATGTTAGTATTCATAAACTACATATACTTATGAGTTATATATAATATATTACGATAAATATTCAAGGTAAATATTTCAATCACTTTTTATATTTATAAGACAAAATATATAATTTTATACACAGATATAATATTTCAACATTTGAACATTGTGTATAAAACTACCTTTATAAGTAAGGTTTGTTTAATAAATTATCCGAATTCACTCAAACTCGATTTATTATTAGAAATAGCTCGTATTAATACTGAATTGATTATAACATAATATACACATATTTATTATATAGTTGGGTATTATTGTAATAATATTCATTAATAATGAATATTATTGAGGATTCAGATTTTATAGCATTTTCTAACTGTTACAGGATACAGATAAAAATAGAAAAGTGAAATATATTAGTCTTATTCACCACTCCAAAAATGAAATTTTATTTTTATATTTTTTGCATATTTAAAGTACTTTGGATTTTTAGTATCATTTTTGAAGTTTTGGTTCTATCATTGGCTAATACACGTAATAATATAATGTTTTATTTAGAATTTACCATAAATATTATTTATATTGACTGAAAAATATCATAATATTATATATATTTATGTATAAATATATATATATAATAAGAAAAATGTCCATATTTTTGTTTTTTTATCACAATTTTTTTAAATTAATAACAGAAGGTAATTTTAGTGTTTTTTATTAATTTAATTATTCTTAAGATTATATTATAGAAAATAATTGAAAAATGAAATAAACTTTCAGTAAAAGATAGTAAATTTAATTAAATTTTAATTTATATTTTTTTACATTTTTTTATTTATAATTTTAGGTGTATTGGTCATATTATAGTGCGTATTTCAGTACTTTTTAATGATATGATATCCGTATCCTGGTAATTATGATTCACAGATAATATATATCATAATAAAAAGTCAAGTCAAAGTACTATGGTACTTGGTATCTACTACCTATGCAATACATATAAAATCATAATATGAGATAATTAATTATCATTATTAATGTATTAATAATATTCTATCCTATAGTAATATTTATACATGTAGGCATGTAACACATTATTTACATAATTTCATATTTAATAATATAAATTGCACAATTTTACAGGTACTCAGATATTTCAGTATAAAAGAAAAATTAATGCTTACCTATCTAAAATAAAAAACCTAGATTTTCTTATGATCATTCATTTTTGTGACGCCCCTATATTCATAATATTATTTTACGTCCTAGGGCACTTGCCCCATTCACACCCCCTTAGGATAGTTATACCAACCTTTATCAAAGATTTAACTAATTTAATAACTAACATTTTAAATAATAAACAACTAAATAAAATTTTAGAAACATTTATCAATAAAATCTACAAATGTCAAAAGTTTTTCTCGTTACAAAATCATGCGGACTGAACACTTGAGATAATTTGATGCATAAAATATAAAATTGCAGTTATGCAATATACTACACAATCAGACGAGAAAAATTAATTATAAAAATATATTTGTACGAATACTTATATATTTATTTTTAGAATATCACCATGATTGAAGAATTGGTTTAAGTAAATTATAATTATATAATCCCGATACTAAATAGTTCAAACAAATTAAGATTAAATAAATAAAAAATTAATATTTTCCTATTTTGAAAAAAAAAAATCTTGTTACATTATGCCGCATAGTTCTTATAAATTATTAGATAATAAATTACATTATAATGCACCTTGGACGGCGCTATACATAGGCAATTTAGAGGCATTTAGGTATATACTGTTTAAATTTAATATTAATATACAAAAAAAAATGCACATATGTGATATAAATATTAGGTAGTACGTTATGTAAAATATATTATGAATAAACTTTAATAATATTATTGATAAGTTTCTAAAAATATCTAATTGTGGGTTTGATACACCCTGATCTATTATCCATAAAATCGGCACTGTGAGAACTTACATAGTAATTAATGTTTAAAATTATAATTTTTAATAAGTCTTTCATTTATAAAATGAAATATAATCAATAAATATAAGATTATATAATTAAATATTAAAAAGACAATTTAAATGAACACATCGAGGTTATATAATAAATATTAAAATACAAGTGTGTCTGCAAAATTAAATAGCTAAATTACTTTCGATATAACGAATGTCTCTAACGAGTTTGCTGAACTGTGAAGGGTCTAACGAGCAAATATGATCCGATCCTTTCATATTTCTGTCCAAAGTGATATGTCTTTCAATAATCTAAAACCATAATAAAATTACTGACTAGTATTTAATGTACCTCGTTAAATAGTTCCAAATTTTTATTTTTGCGATTTTCATTCCAGCTAACAGTATAATTATTATACCAATAGCATATAAGTTTCATGTTTTATTTTTCATTCTTACTTTAGCACCGAGTGTTATCGACGCAGCGGTTATACAAGAGCCAACCTCGTGGCCGGAATAGCCAATAATCGTGTTCGGAAAAGTCTTGCGGAGTGTCTTAATCATGTTCAAATTGGCTTCTTCCGGTGGCGTCGGATACGCAGACACACAGTGCAATAATGCAAAGTCATTGTGATACCGACTAACCGTCTCGACCACTATCCGTATGTCGGCCAGCGTATGCATGCCAGTGGATATGACCAGAGGCACGTAGGTCTTAGCGGCCTTTTCCAGTAGCAACAAGTTACCGGCTTCGCCCGAACCTATTTTCACGAACGGCACTTTGAGACTGACAATAAAATCGAATGAAACCTATAACACCATAACACTAACACTATATAATTTATTGCCATACAGGTAGTTAATAAATTAATCAAAAATTATATAATATATAATTTCATATTAAAACTCTTGTAATAAAACGGACGTAGTCATTTTATTAACATGTGATCAAATTGGCTCCAATACTAAACACTAAACATTTATTTACTAGCCCACTTTAAATCAAAAAAAATAAACATTTTTCTTTAATAATATTTATTTTATTACTATTTAAATATTTAATAACTTAATTTACAATTTTTAGATCTCTACTTCGATCTAACCTATAACGTTATTTATTTAGCGATATACCATCATGTACACATTATACGAGTATATACTGAACATTAATAAATTATAATAATATTGTTTTTGATTTACATTATAATTTAAAATTTATAATATTTAAAAAATGGTTTTAGATTATTATAATAACGATAAATATTTCACGTAGGTGAAGTTATAATGTAATTATGATTTACAGAAAATATCTCTACTTTGTGAATGCAGTTAGGAGCACCAAAAAAATTAATAATATATTATGCCTTTGAAATCGAAGCAATGGTTAGTTAACTGATTAAATAAATCAAATAATTGTATTATTTATATTTTGCTAAATCGAATTTTAAATGTAAGCTCCATTTGGTTTACACATGTTGTTATTAAAATAGTTATTTCAAAAATATTTTAATTTATATTTATAATTAATATATTAAATGTTTTCTGTAGTAGTAAAAACAACAATAGTATAAAATTATAAAGTAAGAGACTAATTGGAAAAGTGGAAGCTCTGTTGAAAATTTAATATCTTTAAAATAAGTGAAATAATTGACGTCAAAAATAATTATAATCATTCGTTATACCGGGTCCATTGCTGAAGCGGTAAAACTGATTCCAACTTTTTTTACAGCATATTTTCGCAATTCTTTGTACTGATCTTCGGTGAATTCTAAATATTTTTTATGTTCACCATAAGTCGAACCAAAAGAGTTTTTACTATTATACGGTCTATTTAAAGCCAACGTCGTAAATTTTTCATTGACACAACTCTTTTGAAATTTTACGCAGTCTGCACCACATTTCTAAAACAACATATATTAAGACATATTATATATAATAATTATTGAATTAGGTTTATTTTAGTGTAGTATTAACGAATTTTACTCTAAAGCAGGGAATGAAACCCAACTAAAAAAACCTGTTTCGGACCGAAACCGTTTAAAAGTATTGGAACCAAAACCTTAACCAGAATCTATAAAAGCGTTTATGAAGTAATCAAAACCGAAACCGAAATTTTAATTTAAAGTTCAGTTATGACTAATTATAAATAAGTAAAAAAATAAACAATTTTTTCAAATAAAATGATGTATTAATGAATACACAATATGCACTGTAGGGTTATTTAACATAAAAATGTAAATATTTTCTTTTGATCAACTAAATTCTAAATAATTTAATAATGTAATGTTCGATGAGATTACAACAATAGTAAAAGCCTAACTGGTTATTGGTATTCTAATGAATTTCTAAATTTTAGAGGTTTAAATTGCAAAGATCAGAACCAAATTGTCCGAGCATTGTGTGTGTACATTGTTCGGTATTCCATATGGCCCGTAACATATACATTTTTTTAATATGCCCATGCCCTCCTTAATATGTGTGTGCTTAGACGAATTATAAAAAATCGCACTCCTAATTATTTAAAGTTTATAGTTATAGATTTATTCCTATCGTGATAGATTACCATACTTGAATTATCCACCTACAGATCAATTATTATTAGAAATTATACTTTAAAGATGATAATGTTAAAATGTAATGTAATCTATGTTTATTTAAAGAAGAAAAAAATTCTTTGTCCTAAGGAAAAGAAAAAACTCAGTACATACGTGCATTTTTTTACGTGCGGCACTGCTGCATTACCGTAATTGTGATGTTAATTGCGTATTTGCGTTAGACCTTTAACTGATTCACGTACATCTCCGTCACCACGCGTCATTGTGCGTGCTCGCACAAGACAAAAAGTACTACGATAACGCAATATCAAAACATTGTAAATTCGGTGTCACGTTTCGTAACGATTTATTGAACGATAAACACGTCCATGATTTTATCTTAGTTATGGCTCCGTCATTATTATGCGAAATTATAAACATAAAACATTTTATGTCGGAAATAAAAAATTACCCTGAAATCTGGGTTATTTATTTAATCTTCATTTGTCGTTGAAAAAAAGCCCTCTTAAAAACCTTAAGACAGTGAAAGTATGCACCCAGTAATGCCTGTTTTACTTCGACATTTTTTATTGGAAATATAATATATTATTAAATATTTAATAAAAATATATTCTTGTTTTTGATTCGCAGCTAAATAAACGCACTCTACAAACGATTTGTACGACAGTACGTCGGGGTTATCGATAACGCCACGGCTTCCCATCGGACGTATGAACACTGTAGTTTTGATAACACTGCTGTTCAGCACATAAAAAAACGCACCTGTATACTAGGCCCCAAAAAGAAACCAATAATTTGGGTTAAGACCGGTTTTAACCAAAACCGATATTTATTATTCATAAGAACTGAATTTTTTTTTCGAACCGGAACCGAAATCGAAACTGATAAAATCCTAAAGATTCCTGTTTCTGTTCGAAAGTATATACTATATGTCTGTACAAGTTAATAAGGCCCATAGAAAAATTACAAAAATATAATTTTGCAAATTATTAATAAAACGATATACTCAAACTGTAAATCGTACGATTATAAGATGTAAATGCATGCATTTATATATACGTGTAAGTACATATGAAATTATATAATATTATGATTTATTACATCACCTTGATTGTGCTTAACAGACTTCGCATTGGGCACACCAGATTCACCCACGGTTTCCTGATGGACAGAGAGGAGGACCCCCCATTTGTAAAATCTGTGGAACTGCGTTAACTGTCAAACACTTAATAGCCGACTGTTTTAAATACAACCAAGAACGAGCTGAGCATAAAATATCATACAATCTGACTAACAGAGATATAATTAATTTTACAAAACAAACAAAATTGTTCAATCTCATATATAAAAAAAATATGTAACGTAATTATGTAATTTATTTTTGTATTTAATCACATAAACTCATATCCTGTTTGTAACTAATGGCCTTTGTTGTCGATGTTATTTTTGAGATCAAAAAAAAAAAAAAAATTATTACATCGTAATATTATCAAATAATAAAACTTTTCCTTTATTTTTCAGTAACCTATTTATTCTATGATTTAGTGACTAATTAATGCATTATGATTAACTATTGTATTACTTAAGTAAAAAGTACATATACGTAATACGTCATGCGAAAATATGTGTTTAAAATCATCAGTTCTTACTTTAGCTAATTTAATTAATTTTTTGGCCATCATTATATCACCTTGATGATTTTGTCCAATTTCAGCTATAATATAACATGGACTTTTAAAATTTATGCTTCGGCAAAGTTCAATTTTGGCTACATGATCTATGAATTCTGATACTGGATCATCGTATGGCATGTAGTGAGTATAATGTTTCAATCTACAATCAATAAAATATTTTATGAATACAAAAAAAATTAACTTATAACCTTATTTTAAACATATTATTAAACAAATACACTCTAATCTAAATTAACTGTGTATTTTTATTTCTTATACTTAAACATTTTTCGATGTGTAAAAAATAATTTTTAAAATTACATCGTCTAAACTTCAAATTAAGATAAGCATGAAAATATATTTTTAGTATACAACGAATTGTGATAATATTGTGATGAATCTTGTACTCCAATATGTGTATATATCATATCAATCGATGACAATTTTATTTTTACTAACACAGGTATGATATTCTAGATAATTATTAGCTGATATCTCACCCGTCAAAATCAGATACAAAAATTGGATCGTCTTCATCAACTTCCGATAACAACTGACGACCAATTATAATCGGAAAATAAAACCCGCACATGCTCTGTGTATCACTAACTTTGATTTTTATATCTTCTGCTTTTATTATGGATCCACGCTCTAAATTTTTCGCGGCTACAACACTTTTGAATAACTTTTTAAAACATGGCAGTTCGGAGGGGGAAATTTTATCTTTTTTCCCCGTTCCTAGTGCAACTTCAATAGTTCTAATATTGGTCACCATGGTTCGGAAATCTCTAGCGTGAATAGACATTTCGTGATCATAACCAATACATTTATCATCCAACGTAAACTTGCATGATATCGCCTAGTAAATATAATTTTATGTGAATCAAAATTAAAACAGAAAAATGAATAAAACAATCAAAACAAAAACGAACCACGATTCCCGCAATGCCCAAACTTTACTATGTCTTGTACACGAATGTATGTCATTTCGACTCGGTAATTTTGACCCACGGTTTTTTAGGCGAGCAACAATTTATTAAACTCATGTTTCATATCAATACACGTAATTTTGACGTAACTATATTATGTCAAATGATAATATATTATCACAAATTATTAGATTAAAAATGTAGAATACCATCTATGCATATAATATACATACGAATATATTATGTTACGGTTGAAATGGAAAAATGTTTATTGTAAATACTAATAGTAAGTATATATGTCCAAGTTTTTTAAGGTATATGGATAATTGTATATTGATTTAATAGACATAATATACTTTGGTCAGTATATAAAGTATTAATTTAATAATTATATAATATTCTTGAATTAAGAATAATAAAATATTCATAATATAAACGTATATTAATTATTAAGAACTATTAAATTAAAAATGTAAAAAACTATTTAGAGTTTGTTAAATTTATAAAACTTCAAATTGTGATCAATACCTACATTATCGGCTGAAAGTATTTGCAAATCATTAAATACCGTATACTCGTATTATCGTTGTATTTTCTTGTTAAAAAACCTTTATATTTAATTTATTTTTCAATTATATATTTGTCAGGTGGAAAACAAATGAAAAAACACATCTTTTAAAATTTGAATTAAACTATAATTTCTTATTAGTGCGACTACAATTTTTATTCATATTCAATTTTATCAAAATTATTAGTTTGTACAATTTATCAATGGCAACAATTAATTATATCATTCCTCATATTGCGGTTGGTACAAGAAAGATCATCTTGAAGACATGTATTTTTTTGTTTGGAAATTCATTTGAAATAGCTTTCATTGTGACTTTTTCAAAGTAAATTCTACATGATTTAAGGCATAAATTAATATAAATAAAAATATTAAAACACGTCAAATTAACATTCGTCAAAATCAAAATGTATGTATAATTTTTTTTTTTTTTTGACGTCGAACTGATTGCGTCCATTTGACGCACATCAAAATTATCGAATCCAAATGACGTGACATTCTTTATATATAGATACTCTTAAAGTAAAATATCTTGTATATAAAATAATAGTATAAAATGTAATACTAATATTATAACTACTAACATAATACTCTGAAATATCTAATTTTAAAGAAAAAAATAATCACTTTTATGCCGATGGCAACAACAACTTCAGGAAGACAAGTGCTTGTTTCTTGAAATTCCCAAAACTGAAGTTCATGCTTAGGAAATTTCTGTTGGATTTTTTGCACTAAATCAACCATTTCATATGTTTTATGACCATTATCTATATTCTTTTCTAAATCCGGAAAAATAACTTGTTGATTTGTTGAACTGGTTTCTTCATCTTCATTCATATCCTTAAAATGTTGTATAGGAGAAATTTGTCGAATTGAATTCTGAAAATTATTGTTTAAACAGTATTTGTAGTATAAAAACCAAAATGTGAACCACAATATTGTCGTCGATTATTCTATTCTAATATATGCCTCACCACAAATGATTTGGTTGTGAAAACTGCTCCATTATCTTGAGCCAATTTATGAAAGTTATCGATAACTTCCCTTGAATATGGATTATTACTTTCATCAAGTTCCATTAATACATAATCGGCACCACATTCCTAAGAAATGATGTTATACTTTTAATAATAAAATATTTATATTTTATTACTTTTCAGTCTTATACGAATATAAAATTATTCATATTGATCTACGTTAAGTTAAATATAACAGGATCAAAGGATTAATTTGAAGCTAAGTTAATTTCATATTTTTTTATTGGTTCTGCAAAAAATCACTAAAACAGTCAAATATCAAATTTTAAAAACAAAACAATTTTTTAAGTTTTATATAGTTTAAATAAGTATTTAAATTAACCTTTAATAGTAAAACAATGCAGTGTAATTATAAATATTTTAGTATTTTTGCACATTAAATAATAAAACACTGAAATATGCACAAAAATAATAATAAAAAAAGTAATATTATAACATTTCTTCATAACCACTATATGTATTACAATAATTAGTATATTATTATAAAATTATTCACAATTCCTTTTTAATAATTATTATATCTTATGCATATCTGTGGAACGTTTTATTTTATCCATCGCATCTTCTATAGTTCCCAATGCTATAAAATGAACTTTATTCATTCCTGAAATAAATATTAAAAACAAATTTATTTTTGTATTATAAATAAGTTTTGATTTTCTAACCTTCTGTTATTTCAATGAAATTTCGTATAACTTCCAGTGCTTTTTTCGCTTCATTGATTGTAACTGATTTTAAAGTTGTACATTCATCTCCATCATTGTTACTCGTATCATTTTCTAACACTGATATTCCCGTTGCCTCAGACACAATTTCAGAATCAGTTAAGTCACCACATATTGGGAGGTTTTCGTCTATTTTGACATACTTATTAAATGTGTCTTCTGGTTTTAAGCTGAATCGATCCGAAATGTAAGACCATTCTGGGATATTTTTTTCGTATTGAGATTTTTCGTTGGAAGTCGTTTGAGTCATAGTACTCAAGGTTGAAAACCCTGCTTTCTTAAAACAATTTATTATAATTTCTGTAGTGATTTGTCTCCATGCTTTATCAATTATTCTTACAGCTTGTAATAAATCAATTAAAAACGTCTGTTGAAGTTCAATACTTGAAATAATTTTCTGTATTATTTCTTTTCTGTAAAATACTTTAAAGTTTTCGATTATACCTAAATCAAGTGGTTGAAGCTTTATAGATACGTTCGTTGGTAAAAACTTGATAGTGATAGCTTTTAAATTCGGGACGATGGCATGAACTGTGCAATTATCAATAAATAATATAATTTTACGATTTTCCATACATATTTTTTTATCAAATTTTTCAAGCCATTTGTTCCATAGCGAAGAGGTCATCCATGATTTTGGATTCGATTCATAATCGACCGGTAAAGATTTTATACCTTCAAAACATCTCGGTTTCGAAGAATTTCCGATGATAAGTGGTGTTAGTTTTTCGGTACCGCTCATGTTCGTGCACAAAAGGACCGTAATGCGTTCTTTGCTCTGTTCACCACCACTGCAGTCTTCTCGAACCAGACCTGTATTAATGCAGTCCGGAAGATGTTTAAAAAAGATTCCAGTTTCGTTCGCGCTGAAGATGTCGTCGGGTGAATAATCCTTGCATACGTCACTTGAAAGATAATTCTTCCATACCGTGACATGTTGATCTTTAACGGTCGGCTGTGCGCGTTCACCATAAGGTTTCCGTAGTACAATATTGTTTCGTTTCTTCCACTTGTCCAGCCAACCAGTGCTGTTTTTGAAATTAAAGTATCCCAGTGACTTTGCAAACACGTCGGCTTTTTCTTTCAATATGGGTCCGCTGATAGGCGCGTTGCTGTCCTTGCACTGAATGAACCATTTCAACAAGCTAGAATCAAGATTCGGGAATTCCGAGAGCTTCATTTTTTTCCGGCTTGGTTGCAGTTTGAAATTCGTCAAGATTTTAGTTTTGTTTTTTAAAATTGTTGACAACGTGGAACTCGGTATGCCAAACTCGTAAGCGACTTCGTAGTTCTTCTTGCCACTGCGTTCCACCATGTTGATGACGTTTACTTTTTCCGCGATCGTTAAAATTTTTAGTTTACGTTTCGACATATCGTTAGTGCGTGTGTAAGACCAGTAAAATAAAATAAATCCCTATTTCACAACCGCACGATGCGCGAATAACCGGTAACGACGAGACAACGAACACTGCAAAAAACGATAAAAACTCTTTACGGGTGCACTGCAGCAACGCACGTCGGGCGCAGTACTTTTACAGAGAAAACAGCAGTTTAGAGCACATTTGCAGATGGCTAACAGAAAAAAATAAATAATTAATTAAACGCGTTCGCCACTACGAAATACATTTTCCGCGGAAATGCGAGTAGTTTGCCAGACATAAGATTCATGTGTATCTGTACGAGATATAATGTACTATTATACGCGCGTCTAACGAATACAGAATGATTGCAACCCCAATGCACTTGCGATGTTGCGGTGCCGGATTAGAGGATACGAAAAACATGTACTGGGAAAGAAGTTGTCGAGCACGTACAAATTAACATCGTACACGCCGCGAGTATTTTTGTACGACGAACGGACGGACAACGTCGCGCGCAACACCGACGGCATGCACGTTAAGAATTATTTTGTGTATTAGAAAACAGAATAATATACTCGTCGTATTTATGTATGTATGTATAAATGGCTCACGCATGCTTTCTGGATCATCTCGTTGGCCAACGTCACGTTTCCCTCGTGATTCGTTGAAAGATTCGCGATCACGTACGCCCGGCTGTTTTTGGAAATGGTCTTCATCGCGGTCCAGCCGCCTGACGATAGGATATTTAATTGGATTTCTCTGAAAGTTCGAAAGTTTCGAAGCGAAGCGTTGCAACGTCCAGGTGGTACGAATGTATAATGCGCTAATGGTCGCCGTCGGCGTTTTACTCGCGAGTATTGATTTTTTTGCCCGCCACAAGTGGCAAGAGACGTTCTAGATGCCGACCAAAGAGGTTTAGCGGTAACCGGCACCGCGGTTGCATATGACCGTGGCGAACCTAGTTGGTTTTATGGTGATTACTGTCAAACAAAAACAATAATATTTTGATTCGTCGTAGTAAATAATTTTTGTTATCTATGGTAATGCGTTTCACAGGCGTTGGAATTTGGGGTTTCGAGTATCTTGTCCATGAATGGAATGCTCAAACCTCACTGTCACTAGTGTCTGTGGCCTAATCAGTGTCCGACATCGTCCGGATTGGAGAAGACATGTCGTTCCAGAACCCGACGTTCGATGGTGACTCCGAAGATTTCCAGACCAAGCGCACCAACCTGTTCGCCGTGTTGGATCAAGCCGAGAAAGAGTTGGGGTCGAAAATCAAAAAAGTTACCACAGCTGACGCGCACGATATACTCAATGGCCGAGTAGAACGCAGACATGGTCGTTCGCTAACAAATAAGTTCCGGGGCAAGGACAGTCTGTTCGTAAAACCCGAAATACCGCCTTGGCGCATTATTGAAAAGCACCGTGCGCCAGATTTCAAATTGCATCCGCATAAATGGACCAGATATTCATTGGCTGACGTGAACGATATGAATGACAAGAGTAATGCTGCTGCTGCATTTGCGTTTCTTAAAGAAATGCAAACCAGGAAATCTCATGGTGACCAGAACGATAACGAAGAATCAAAGAAAATAGTGTTCAAGAAAACGGTGAAATCCAAAGAATCAGAAGTTAAACCAAGTTTTCAGAGCAGTAAACTGGTTATGCCCGAGTACGAATTTGGAAAAAAGATACAAAAGAAAAAAAATCGACCTGAACGTCAGTCAGATGGGGCTACTACCAATAAAGAAATTAAACTTGGACATTTAATGGAAGATGAAATTGATGAATAATATTTTGTTTTGTATACATTGTAAATACTAGTTATCTATTTATTTTTCGACATAAATTATATTTACATATACTTAAACTGAAAAGTTTCAGTATTGAAAAAATAAATAGATTTTTCATCTAAGCTGTTAGAAAATATAATATAAGAAATATAATGTGTACATATAAATAAATTAATCAATAGATTATCATTCTTATTATTAATATAATATATGAACTTTATCAATAGCTGCCTTTCTAGTTTAAGAATAATTCAAGAAAAAATATTAAAATAGGTGGTACCTGTTAGCAGGGGCGGATTTAACTAACTGGACCTATCATTTCAAGTAATAAATATTTTTAGTTAATAGAGTTCATCTATTTGTACATTAACGTTCTATACAAATATAAAAATAAAAAACAGAAAACATAAAGTTTTGTACACTGGTATATAGAATTTCTATTTATATGACAGTATCCAGGGTCTGGAAGCTGATTGCCCCTTTACCTCCCTGTTTATTAATACTGTTCTTAGATCATACAGTTTAAGATTCTGAGTTTCCTTAACTATCAAAAATAGTATTTATATTCAAGTACAATAGCAAAAATTTTACCCTTCCCTGGCATCTCCTATTGATATCAATTTTTCCAAGAATTCACTAATCTATTGAGGGACTGAATTAAGTTACAAAAAAACTTGTAATACAAATTTGTTTAATATTAAATATTTTATACTACAGCAAAATTACATAATCTATCAACAAACAATAATTAAAAGTTGATGGTTTCGACCAGTGACAAAATACAAATTTTCAAATGATACCAAGATAAAACTAAAATGAAACAATATTCATTTTTAATTGTAAATATGAGTTGATTTATTTAACATATGAAATTTTCAACTATTGGTCAGCTTGATATTCGAAATAAAATAAATAATATTTAATTTTAGTACTATTAACATAACTCTTTTACAAAGGATTGTTAAGAAAAAACATATTATTTAGCTGATAAAATATAATATTTAATAAAAAATAATAATTGTTCAACAAGTTTAAATAATTAATAATAAAATATATGTATTTATTTAATTGATAGTTATTTTTGAATTAATATACAATAAATAATATTTTATAATTTTGAAATGCATCTTAGTTAACAGAACAAATAAGAATAATCAAATAATAAAAATTGCAAATAATTTAACATATAATATGAAAAATGAAATTGTACATTTATTCAAATTATAACATTGATGGAATATCCTAGGAAGAAAAAAAATTAACATTAACCATTAAATCTAACAAATCATTCATAAACATAAAAATATATACTTAGTGTTAAAAACCACATAAAAGTGGTTTTATTAAAATAAGTTGAATGTACAACACAAAAATAGGATTAGTTAAAAACAAACGACCTGTTAAGGATTTATAATTAATTTAATAAATTTATTTATTCATTTTTTTTTTTATCATAACTTAAAATCAATAACAACATTATTCACACGTTTAAAAAATATAAACTATTTTCAAAATTGTTTTATTTTAATTAAACTTTATTAGAATATATTGATACCATAAATAAAAATTTGATTTTTATAAGTTGATCCAGGATTGAATATTTTTATTAAATAAAATAAATTTGTTTATACTTCAAAAATTTGTAATAAAATAAATATGTATAAGTTTGTAATCTTATAAATTAAAATAAATAACAATACAAGTACAAATAATATGAGTAATATATTAAAAAAATTAAAATAATTCTGATGTAAAAGGTTTAGTTGCTTAAAATAAATATTATACAAACATAAAAATTAAAATTAAAGTTTCCTATGAAGAATCGTGGAACGATAAATAATTATGAGAAAATGTGATGAAAATTAAAAATACAAAATACTATAATTGCACAAAATAATAAAAAATTGATGTAAATAAACTAGATTTAGAAATCACAGTATTATTAATTAATATAAGGCACATAATTTCAATGGCAAAATTTGTTAATCAATCATTTAAAAAATAATTATTTTTAAATCACCCTGTTAGTTGAGCCTGAATAAATAATTTTTTTTTTATAATATACTCATTGATGTTCAGCCCATATTAAAATTTAACAGGAAGTTATCAATATTGTTATACTAATAGATTATCAATAAAATAATTTTAGTGAGGGCATTTACTTAAGTTTTGATTTTGTACTCAAGGATTCTTTTACAATATGAAAAAAATTAGTTTGAGGACAGTAAAATTGTTAAAATTATCTAAGCCTTGATGAATGGATGGACAACATTTGATGGTATAATATATACAATACCATCATTCCCATCTTTTCGAAAACTTGCACTTGATGTTTGAGGGTTGACTTCAACACGTAGTAATCGAGATTTTTTGCCTAACATACAATTGAATTTGTTGGATACATTTACTGGTAACTCTGAATTTCTTAATCTGAAATTATGCAATATTATTATTATAATTTATATAACACAAATTTTAAGTATTTAAATAATTTATACAAAACAGAATTGCAACATATAATTTATAAAAATATTATGATATATAAATAAATATATAAATATATGTATGTGTGTGTGTCAATGGCGTATTTGAGGGGGGAAGGGGTCTTTGGCTCCTCCACCCACGGATTGTATTTCTTTTGAATATAATACACTGATTTATTTAAAAAATGTAATGTATAAATAATTAAGAATATAAATTACTAGTCTATCACTATAATTTGGTAATAAATTCAATAATATGCCAATTTGATAACGGGTATCAATTTTTGTTTATATTCATAAATTACAATTTTTGGTTGAGGAACGAATAGTGGTATTATCTTCCACGGACCATGCTAAAGTTATAGACATTTACAACCATAACCGAGGTATTTATCAGATAATATAAAGTAATTTAAAGTAATACTTTTTTTACCACATATTTACTAGTTAATCTTTTTTTGATACATTTATGCATATTGTATATTTTGATATTTATTAGAGCTATATAAGTCCTTAATAATTTTACTTGCCTATTTTTTTTTTTTTTATAACATAATATACCTGGTACTTTTTGTTGTGCATAGGTATTTAGTCATTTTTTTGTCCTCAAATGCATACATATTTATGTGTTTTTTAAAGCTAGAAGCCTCTAAGCCAAATAATAATCATAATAACTGACAATATTTGTTTCCATATTCTTTAACTTGCAAATATTGGTCAAAAATAAATTCTTGTAGATTGAAGACATGGTTAAGATCAAGAATAGGCCAGGTTAGGTTAGGTTACTACTTACCAACTTTGTTTTCTGCTTAGATATTTGTTATATTAAGTTACCTATCTTAATTGTATTTTAAATTTTTTAAAAAATAATTAATAGGTACTATTACTACTATGATTATTTGTTGTTTTTTTTTATACAGGATTCAAACTGAAGGTACAATTTAAATATAGGAACTATTTGTGTTGTTATTATTAATACTTATTTTTTTTTTTTAAGGCTTCAAATACAAAGGTTAATTAGCCTACAATGGTTTACATGTTTAATTTATAAATATAATGGAAATTTAATAGTTAATACTTATTTTATATACAGTAGGTTTTAAATATATTTATTAAATAAATATTTAATGAAATTTGGTACTTGTATTTTTATTTATTCACTCGAATGAGCAACAGAAACATGAGTTGTAGTTAATGAATAGTAAATTATTTTTAAGTTTGTATAAAAAAAAAAAAATTAGTTTCGCCCCCATGGCCCTTGTTGATGTGTGTGTGTGTGCGTGTGCATGTATGAAACTGATTTTACTTGTACAATTTTAATTAAATACAAATGTACATAAATAGGTTTCAAGTACGATTTTATAAATAAGATGTTCTTTTTTATAATTGTAAAAGTTAAATTACTATTAAAATCTATGTTACAATTAATAATCAATGTAAAATGGTTTTGACTTCAAATTGGTTTTAAATTATTGATAAAATATTCTAATACTTAAAATAAAATAAAATTTTCTGCAAAAAAAGTATTATGAGAAGGGCCTGAATTTTAATGCAAGATGCATTATATTTTTAATTATCTTAGACAATATTTCAAAGTACATAATTTGTTTTAAGTAACAGACACTTTAAAGACAAAATTTTTATTTTGCATTTTTAGTGTTTTCTCATTTTAAGAGTATTTTAAGACCTATGACGGGTATGTTAATGTAGAACCATTTAGGTTACCGGCAATCTATACCGAATTATTCTTCAGGAGCTGCTTAGGTCGCCAGCAGTTAAACCTCCTATTTTATTTATTTAATACACAAAATTTTTTGATGATAACAAGATAAAGACTTTCTAGTAAATAACAAGGTACCCAAGTACCCAATCTAGTCAATAGAAAATAACTTTGAAAGAATGGAAGATATGTGGAGACAATGCTGGGAAGAAGATAATGCAAAAAAATAGACACCTTATAAGTGACCTTACGCAAAGAGTCCCAAGGGGGTTTGACTGCCCAAGAGCCATATGGATCAACCTTAACAGGATAAAAAGGGAGCAGGGCAATTATAACTACCTTCTACATAAATGGAAAATAAAAAACTCTCCTCTTTGTGGCTACAGACAAATACAAATCATCAGACACATTGTGGTGGAATATCCTCAAACTAGATACAAGGGAGGAATTAAGAAACTTCACAAGGCCGATGACGAAATAATGAATTGGTTGACTCACATTTGCTTTTAAATAGATTATGACTTTTTATTATTATTATTTATGTTATTGTTAAATTTATAAGTATATTTTAAATCTATCTACTTTAGTTATTTTGTTAATTTAATGTTTATTTAGTTTTGTTTTTTACCAATAAACCTACAACATATAAAAAATAAAAAATAAAAAAAGGACTTTCTAATTACATTGCCGGTAAGCTCGTGACAGTTAAGTAATAACAGCCATACTTTATCTCCTGTTTCAATATTGAAATATCATATTAAAATAACATATTTTATCCCCGATATAAAATAAAATTCTTACTGGAAATATCTAGTGCTAATAACTCCAATAAGTTCACCGATTCTGTCTTCACTTGAATCAGCTGTTGATTTTAAAGTAACCACAAGATCATTACCTCGGTTAGAATGAATTACAACCAACTGATCTTGTCCTGGACTCACACTCATTCCAGTAACCTTATAAACAATATTATAAATTAAAATCCACAAATAAATGTATATATTATGTTCATACTTCTTGAATGGGCATTCCTTTTTTCATTGGTTTAAACTTTGTAATGTCTAATTTATATATGGCCCAATCAGTAATTAATATTGCACGATCTGCACACTTATTAAAACGATTTGTTTTATGAATAAAACTTGAAAACAGCACCTACATCAAATGATTTTATATTAACTATAATACATCCAACATATTCAAAAAAATTTTAGTTAGTATTCTATACCTGATTAAACCGATCAGAGTTCTTCAAATTATTTAATGCAACCATAAAATTAGCACTTTCAACGTTTTCTGTTGGAGATGAAAGATAATCGCCTCTCCACATACGTTCTCCACCCCAACTAGGTCGTTTCCCCCGTAACAATGAGGCAGCATGCACCTTACACCGCAATTGTGGCCATTCACTTCTAAGGTAGGGACTTAAAAGTTTAAATGCTTTCCATCGTTTGTAAATAGACTTCAATGAAGGTTCTAATTGACGAACAGCAAAGTTTGGTTGTGGCCAAATTATTGACTTTTTATGATGCAAATTCATTTCACAAGTTCTAAAAAACATAAATATTTTTTTTGCTTTTTAATAAAAACATATAAAATTTTATAATTAAAAATGTAAAACCAACCTATGTGCTTCTAAAACAGATTGGATGTAAATTCGAATTTTATAACGTCTGTAAAATTTTATAATAAAATAAGCAGCTTTCATTTTTCTGAACTTAGCTCGACAAATAGCACCACGCCATTGTTTTTGCAATAATATAACAATAGCTGGAATTAATTCTGCTCGCATCTAAAAATATTTGTCAAATTATTTAATTTAATTTTTTTTTTTTTTTTTTTAAATACCTTTTCTAATGTAAACAATGTTTGAGGTGACCTAATAAATAGTTTCGTTTTTCCATATTTAACATCATTTGAAAATTGATTTTCATCTATCAAGGCTCTAGTGGCTTCTTTATCACTACATTGATAATTTGGCCAAGTAAAACCACTTATCATTTTGTACCTAAAATATTAGTATTGGTATGGTATTATGTAATTTAGTATAGAAGTATTATTTACTATAATATTTAATAAGAAAATATTAATTTAATATATTTGGTATGAAAGTACACTAACCTTTTAAGGAATCTACTGTAAGACTGTCTGTGAGCAAATCCAGCTCTTCGCACTCTGACATTTTCTAATAAACCCAAATAAGATACTTGATGAACGACTCTTTTATAATCCAACCCAACAGGAGCCTTATTTTCATTTGGTTTTATACATCTAACATAATATGGCATTTTACTATTCAATGTTTTGACCAAGGCTATCATTGATGTTTTAAATGCATTTCCAGCAGTAACAGGCCGTTTAGTTGTCTAAAAAGTAATTCAATAATTTAAGTAATATCACTGATTATTTTAAAGGATATTTTTCTTACAGATTTTATATCCAAAGCTCCTTCAGGCCACATATCCTTAATAATTGAATTGTTTGATGAGTAAAGCAGTCTTTTAAAATCTTGAAAAAGGGTATCTTTATTTTTTTCCAAAAAGCCATAAATGTTATATACTACATCACCAGCATAATGTCTTTTAATAAAAAAACATAAATTTAATTTTATGAATTTAAAATAATAATACTCAAAATAACAATTACCGAATTTTAAACTGGATTTTATGTTTCAGATCTTTATCTAATGTATTCACTTGTCGGCTAGAATAATGTTTATGTTGTGAAAGTTTTAAGTCCATAGCTTCTAGTAACATCTAAGCAAATAAATATAAATAAATTACATTATATTAAATTTTTTACAGCTCTGAACTTCAAATTGCATACTTCATCATTTATTTTTCCAACATTTAAACATGCTTCATCTAAAATAGCAATTATGCCCAGATGTGGTTTTTCCACAAGGTCACATATTACTTGGTTATTAAAATACTTCACTTCTTGCCAAGCTATGCCTTCTTTTTGGTACTCTTCTTGCTCTTGGCGTAATACCAAATCTATATATTAGATATTAAATTATATATTCTATTAGTTATTAATTATTAATACAATAATTAAAAATTAATATTTCTTAATTTATACCTATAAACACTTGTTGAAGTTTTTCATTGCAATAATTAATGCAAAACTGTTCAAAACTATTATGTTCAAATACTTCAAACCCATATATATCCAACACTCCAATTACAGTTCCTCCTTTATATTTATTATTCTCAATATAAGGTATTAAAGCTTCATTAACTTTTGATACTATCCAAGTGAATAATCGATCATAAATTGCCTAAAGAAATAGTAATAAATTAAAATTATGTTTTAAAAATCAGTAATCATAGTAATACTTTTGCTAATGCATCTCTTCCATTTTCTGCTTGGGACAATGTATGAGCTTTCTGTAAAACTTCTCCATTTGCTGCAATTATACGTTTACTAAGAGCTGTGAGAAGGTCTTGAGTATCAACCTCTAATAGTTTAGATACTTGTTCAATAGGATTATTATGAGAATTAGTTACTGTTATTGTATCATCATCATTAGTTGAGAATGTTACATTTCCCTAAAAATATTAAAGCATTTAATAATAGTTGATTATACTGAAATTCAATAATAATATTTTAACTATTTACTAATTGTAAAATAGCAGCAACAATTTTCCAAATAGTTTTTATATCAAATGCTGAAAATCCAAGTGTTTTACAAGCACTTAATGTAGCTTGAAAATCAGATTTATCAGCTGACGTAATTGATGATTTCCCTTGCCTTGTATAAAAATAATGTTGAGGATCAGGATTTAATCCTAAATTGCTTGTTTCTTTATGTGTTGTATTTCCTAATGCCTGAAAAATTATGACATTCATATTAACTTATAAGAATATAAAATTGTTTGATTTTTAATCACCTGATAAAAACTATGAAAATTTCTTTCACCGATCTGTTGTTGAATTACACGAGATTTTTCCAACAAATAATTTATCACTCGGCCACCAATTGGATCTCCTTTAAAATTGAAATTTATGTCCATATATTTCCCAAATCTGGAGGAATTATCATTCCTATTGGTTTTAGCATTTCCAAACGTTTCCAAGATAATGTTTGACTGAATCAATATATTTTTTACTCTACACAATATCAATCAAATTGAAATTAAACTATTTATATAAATAAACAAATTAAAATTTACCGTTCTACTTCTTTTTGGCCTGTTAAATTAGTGACAGCAGCAATATATTTCATTATAATCTTAGATGCTTCAGTTTTACCACTGCCAGATTCACCACTAATAACAATACAAGAATCTTGTCGATTCATTTTCATGCTACGATGTGCAGAATCAGCAATTGCAAATATATGTGCTGGGTTTTCAAACAGTTCGCGTCCTTTGTGCAGAATATATAAAGTGTAAGGTGAATTATAATTGAATAAAAAAAGCATATAATTCATTGTCAAATGTTAGTTTAAATATATCACCTTTATATTGGTTTACATAGTCTTGACCATAGATGTTTAATGAGCGATATGGGTTTACAGATATACAGACTTCACCGATATAAGTATAAATATAACCAGAATTAAATCTAATAAAAAAAAAAAAAAACCTACATTAATATAAAGATTATTTAGTAATTTAATAAGAAAGTAATCAGAATATATTATTCATATAATTTAATAACGAGGAAAATAAAATGTAATTCAAATTATTCTATAATTATTTACTGAATAAATAAATAATATTTTTAACCAATTGTAAGCTTTATCCATTTTTTAACAAAATGTATCATCATATACTCAGTAACCATATATTTTACTTTGGTAATTTGACCTTTTTTGAAAAATATTTTATCCATGAGGATCATCTGTTTGGTTTCCATAGTTAAATAAATTAATAAAACAATATACTTATACATTATTCATGATAAAATACATTAACCTTTAATTTAGAAATTAAATGGAACTTTTTTTTGGCTTGTATCCAAATAGGATGATTTTCAGCAAAATATATATTACGTAAATAAAACTAATTTGAAATGAAAATCATCATAACTAAAAAATACAAATTTGGACTTGGATTAACGAATTCTAAAAAAATCACTATGCAAATAGTAACAGTAAAAAAAAATTTTTTAAAAATTGAAAAGTAATTTTCCAAGGTAAAACTGAAGTAGAAAATATGAGATAAATGATAAAAAAAATTAAATCATAACCAAACCAATAGTAGTATGGATTTAATACTAGTTATAAGAATACAATTAAAAATAATATTAAATATATATTATTAACACATGATTCATCAAAATTAAAGCTAATTTAACAATAAGTACACACATAAATATAACCTTATAAGCTTTAACAATCTTATTTAACAATATTACAAAATTTATCATAATTACTTTATTATATGAATTTCAGTCAAATATATTGACTTAGATATAAAAATAATACTGTTAAATAAGTTATGTTCTGTTTAATTGATCAGATATGAAATAAGAATTCATGTATGTATGTACACATTGTATATTATACATGTGTGTTTTTATACATTTGAACATTATAGAAATTTCAACTAAAAACTTTAAATAATAGAAAATCAATTGGTAGCAGTAATTATCTTGAGATAAATAATTAATTCAGTTATTATAAAATAGTTTGATTAGCTTTCATTGCAAGTACTTCAAATATGGACATAACTAGAAAGAAAAGTAAAATGAAATCAGTAGTTGGTATTGACCACTAAGGGGAAATTTATCAAGTTTATCATAAGAATTTAGAAATATTTCAATTGTATAACAGTGTAGCTATTACTTTGGCTAATTAAAAAATAATTTTTTAAAACCTTTTTTTATCAAGAAATTGTTTTGCAGAAACAACTATAATCTTGATACTATAGGTACCTTATCTTTATTAGGTATATAATATTAATTATAATACCTAATTATACCAATAAAAATAAAATCCACTCTAATTATAGTAGTGAAAAAAATTTAATAAAATAATGTACTATTTCAGAGCTATCACATAACCACTTATCACATAAAATAGTTCACAATAATATTAATTGCTTATTATCAAGTAATTTGACTTTTGCTACTAATCTAATTATGTACTAATTTTTAATTTTTAAGAGAATAAAACAAAACTTGGATTAGTAAGTATAATAAAACCTTTATAAAAATACTATAAACATTACATGCTTACATTTATTGAGCTAAATCATATAATTTTAATTATATTATTGTTATCAGTAGAAAACTCTTAAGATTACATATTAATACAATTTAAATTATTGTGTTATTCGAATTACTTGAAACAGTTATTCTGAATTGCCATTTTGATTATGAAAAATAAATATAGATATATCATCAATCAACTAGTCTATGGACTATCAATAATGAGTAATGACACATACCTTTCTGTGAATTAGAATTACCTAGATGCTAAATTATTCTACAGTAGAACTATTGCGAATAAATGTTCATGAAAACAAAAATTAAAATATTTTTTTAAGATTATTTATGTAAAGAATGATCTCAATAATAATAATCTATTTCTTACAAAAATGTTTTTATGTTTCAATTTATAATTATATATAAATATATATTGCAATAAATTCATTTAAAATTATAATTACCAATAGATAATAAATAAACATTACCTATTTTAACAAAAACTATTAATAGTTTGTCTAAACTGATGACAAGGTTAAATCAGAATAATTTTCATTACATTTGATAAAGTAGATAATGTATTTTATTATTTCACAAATAATTAAAAAATAAAATAATTCTAAATGTTTATAGGTTGCATGATTTGAATTTAAAATAATTAAGTAAGGACTACAAGACCCTGGGTTTTAATAAAAAATAAATGTATCATAAATACACCTTTTTATATTTAATATTTAATAATTGTAATTTTTTATCTCAAATTCAACTCGAAATTCAATGCTATCACATTTAAACAATTTATAACTTATCTTGATAATTATTCAAAATTATGAGTTAATTACATGGTAAATATTATTGACACTAGTTTCATTAAATCCATTAATGCCAGAGAGTATGAAATAATAAACAGTAAATATCTAATAGTATTTCATCTTAGATTAAAAATATTACATTATGCACACTATCTTGTATACTATAACTCATTATGAATTCTGTTCAAATAACAGTACATTCTCCATCTTATAAAATGTCTTATAGTCTTACGCTTATATGAGCTGCATGAGAAGTACGAGAAAAATAATGGTTGGCTATAGTAGCAAAATTGCTAAATAAGATTAAAAAGTAAACTTTTTGTAGGTTCTATATTTGACACATATTTTACATAAAATATGAATATAATTCGTCGGTTATGATGGTGAAATATTTTCCACAAACATAAAATTAAAATGCGAAATACGTAAATTCCTTCGGAACTGATAAAAATTAACGTACCTAAATAAAAAAAATATGCATTAAAATCTATATTAATAACGAATTACGATATGAAACCGCTTTTTTCCAAAATAAAATACTCGTTCAAAATCAATACGTATAAGAGCTAAAATAATTTAGCGTTCGCATCGAAGAATGTAACAAAATCGGTAGTTGGTAAGTTATTAGAAAAAAAAAAAAACAGTAGTAAGTTAGTGACAACAACCACAGGTAGGTAGATAATAAACAATTCAAGCGCGTGTATGAATTTTTGTATGCACTGAATACACATGTGGTATTGGGTATTTGTGCGACCTCTACACTAATTATAATATTCCAAAGATTAACTTTCGCGAGTACAGTACCTATCATTCGTCCAAAACAGTGGATTTTTGTATGCGTTAAGACGGAGTGTGTTGACAGATGGCTAAACTGATGTTAAAATTTATTATGGACGACTAATAGAATTTTAGACAGTAAGCAAATTATGCTTAACTCATGCATAACTCGTGAACATAAACGTGGAGAGAGTTTAAGAGCACGGAAAACAAAAAAAAAAAAAATTATGAAAAAAATTAAGCAAATTTCAATTCCAATAGAATAAAAACTATACAATATATTCAACTACAATACATAGAAAATGTAACATTTTCCTTTTCAACAACACCATTGGCAAACATTTGTTTATCAACTACTACGTAATGTTGTAATGTTTTTTGCAGTATGAATAACACCATTAGTCGATGTAATTTTTTTTTATTATTATCATACAGATATAAATCTATATATATATATATATATATACCCGGTAAAAGCAATATTTTGAGGTTTTTAAAATAAACTTATTGTGTTCATCGTTGGGGATGTTCGAGCGGACCCGTGTTCTGATAACAGTAGTTCGAGCGATGGCTTAGGTAAAGAAGTTCATACGGTTCCCCGACACGAGCACACTTAGTAAAGGTATGTATCAACGGGCACGAGTAGCGAAGCGCAAGGCTTACGCGAACCATAGAACACGATGTCATCTGTTGCGCGAAAAAATATTTCGTAACTTCGGAAACATTAGCAGACGCACCGACCGCTTTCCCACCGCCGCGACGACGTGCGTCCGTCTCCCGTCAGCGAACAACTCTCATCGGCAATGGAGAGCCGTGCACGGACGGTAGTGTCGTAATATTATTTTATTGTATTGAGGCCTTCGGACTAGGCCACTACTCTTGCCACAGCTGACACGATATGAAATACGAATCGTAATAACAAATTAAATAGCTGCGCAACGTCGTGGTTGGCGAATACGAGTTAATTCCGTCAACGAATTATACTTCTATCGTTCACGACTAAAATGTATTGAAAACGCGTGCCGTTATGTTAACACAAAACGCTTCATCCCGTGATAAATCTCACAGCGCCGTGTTTCGGACGACATCAGCGGTGGACGCAGCAAAAACTATTTATTTTCTACGTTAAAACTAATGTTTTCATGGCTCGTGGAAGAAGTGCGTACACGTCGTGTCGCGGCCACGGGAAACCGACAAGACATGACGATGACTACACGACGGTAAAATGCAATATTAAGTATGCGGCAAAGCGGCAGGTACGACAAGTGCATGACATCATCGGGCCCGTAATTGATTATTATTCAATGACACACCAAACTCAACTCGCGCGCAGCATTAGTCACGTCGGAACGCCTTATCGAGCACCGACGGATTCCGTCGTGGCCGTTCATCGTACCGCGACAGGGTTGTACACGCAAACATCCGTGTCGGCAACGTAGACTGGTATGTAAGGTCGGCAGCGGTGCTAGCGATAAGGTGGAATAACGCTGAAGCGAACCGTCGGCGATAACGAGATGCGCGCGGGTAGAGATAATAATGTTGTTGTTATGTTATCCGGTGATAGATAAACGGTCGTCGTCGGGGTGGTTTTTGAACTGGCGGTACGTGCTAACGGACTTTTGAAATCTCCCGCGGAACGACAGTAAAAAAACACCGATTCGGCCGGACATCAAAAGTGCATCGCTACCTCGTCCTCCTCCAACGTGCGAACAAACACTACGCGCCGTTGTCAACATTCCCCCGCGGGACGTCTACCAAGTGTTGTTCGGTTACACCGATTATCCGCATAAAACGAACGCACGTTTCGTACAACTGTCATTATTATTGTTAATATTATTATAACCACCGTATCGGACTAGAGCCCCTGCGGATGACAATACCGCTAAATGAGAGATCGCTGTTTCCTGTTGCCGGTGGTTACTCACCTCAGCGTCAGGTTTTCCATAAACTTCTCGATCGTGATCTCGTCCAGCAGGACGAAATCTCCGATCCCCGGTTCGTCTCGGCTTGTCATCATTTTTTACACCGTTCTTTTGTCCACGCCGAGTTTTTCTTGACACAAATCAACCCGGTTCACGTACACGCGCGTTCAGCGACACGACATCGGGTAGCGCTGTTTTTTGGAAACGCAGCAGCAGCAGCAGCAGCAGCAGCAGCAGCAACAATGCAAGATCAGCGGATCGACGAGCGCGAGAATCACGGAACAAAACTTGTGCCGCACAAACGCACTACGACCAGAGACTTCTGGAACGCTAGTGGAACGCGGCGGCGGCGACGGTGAAAGAGCCGCGGCAAGAGAGTACGGTGCGCACCGTCGATCATGTGGGTGGTGGTAACAGTGCGGCCGCCGAAGCCGGCGCGAAATTACGGGGAGGGGGACACCGTACGTGAACGCGCGCAATAATACGATCATGTTACAATCGCTACCATTACGCGGTATTATTTACACACTATGCCGACAATTACTACGTCGTTTACGGCTTACTGCGGACCACGTATAGTTCGCGATATGAACTATCCAAGTTCCCCTGCGGTGACGACTTGTTGGACAAATTGTTCTACTCGTGTTGCACTCGACGACCGTTTCCGAAACGTTCGTCTGGGCGTATCCGGGGTACGGTACATTTACCCGCGCTTCCGTACGGTACTGGAAGTTCTCACTGACAGCTATATATTATGTATACAATTAGTACTGTATTAGGTACCATTTATAAGAACGATCGGTGAATATTTTCGACGGTAACGCGCAGTTAACAACAGCGAGGAGTTAACAGATTTTAGGTACAGGAGCGTCAAAAAATTAATCAGGTTACTTAATCCGTTAAATTAATATACGGTTAACATATTGTAATTAACAATAACGTGCATGCGTTCAAAATATAACAGTAGAAGTAGACATTTTTACGGTACGCAACAAGGCATGTGGGCAATATTGGTAAAATAACATTACTTGAAAATTGCTTCGACTACTCAACTGGAAATATTTATAGTTCATTATTATCTGATACGTACCGTCTATACTATAGATTCTATAGGCTATAGCAGTGGCGCCAAATCCTATGCTTAGGTCAGACCATGGCCTGACCACATTTTTAAAATGAGACAGGGAATCAGAAGGGCCGATCTATGGTTTACACTCTGCAATATTTTGACCTCGCGAGAAATGCCGGACTGACTCAGTACTGTCAGTATGTGTATGAACGGAAGGACGACTACGAATTGGTTTCCGGGTTGTCTACAGGTAACATATAAATTGATTCCCGCAAACTTTCACAACAATTTCCTTCCCATTTATTCAGACTTAGGACTGTCTAGAATTCAAATAAGTTCGAATATTTCAAACACTATATAGAATACTAGGTATGGTTAAAAATGTTGCTCAGAATAATATATTAATATATATATTTATAATATACGCTACATACGTATTTGTCAATAATAATAATTGTGGTTGTAATAAATAAGTAATAATAATGTAATAATAAGTCAAAATAGGTAAATAATACTAGAAAAAAATTAGTGTGGTATGAATTAACAACATACATTTTTTACAAACTGTAGGTTCGATATTTGGCTCTCCCTCTATTTTTTAATATTTTCATCAATAAACTTTTCTTTTTCAGCAACTTTTTTGGACTTTAATTTAAATGAGTTTCTTTGCTTTATGTATGTTTCGCACTGCACTGCTTTTAATTGTTCAATCAATAAAAAAATATTTGGGCGGACGGAATAAAATCTAGAATTCAGTTTTCCATGAAACGATTCGCAACAGTTTGTTGTTTGTTCTGAAGTGGCTTAAAAATCTGCCCAAATTGTTGGTAAAAAACACTATCATTTTCAATATAATTTTCAAGTACATAATCAAAAAATGTATCATGTTTTTCATGTAATGGTTTTATAGTCATCAACTCAACATAAACGTTTTGTATTATATTAGGTGGCAATAAAGGTAATCCGAAAAAGTATTTCAATATTTGCCCAATCTCTGAATCTTTATTTTTAAATTCATCTGAGAGTCCTAAAGATTGATTTTTTCTCCACCACGCCTGTCCTAAGTGGAATATACATCCTCTTAATTTAGACTGTGGCCAAACTTCAGATACTGTCAGGTGAATAGCCTTTTCAAAATCAGCAAAAATAATTTCAGGCCTCATGTGATGTTCTATAAATCGAAATAAGTAATACTGTTCTTGTTGGGCAGTAGGAAAAAAACTAATGGAAAATAATTGTTATATTTTACACCATGAATGGTAAAAAGCTGGTAAATCAATTTTGGGCAACTTTTAAAAGTTCCATCAACAAACACTGTTTTAATTTTACGGAATATCTCTAAATTATGTGAACAAGTAATAATTACAATATTTGTTTCACAATCATTAATATATTTGAAATTTTCACCACGATTTGTAATTATATCAAAATGCTTCATGTAGTTCTGTTAAAGTCTTAGGTAATTTGGGTAACTTACTTGATCGACTAGCGTGAATATTTTATCTTACTCCAAAAACGTCATGCGCTGTAAGCTGTTCAATATCACCATTGAATAGTAACTCTTGGCAGATTAATTTTGTTGGACGTTCAAGATTTTCCTGAACTTTTCTTTTTAAGTTATTGCTTAATGCTTGCCTATCCAATATGTTTTCACTATCTTTCTCATGATTGTGTTCGAGGTTACATTCTTCAATATTATTTAAATTATTTATTTTTAAAAACGATTTGCATTTTCTTTTTGTACAAGTCCAACGTTCCATATTTCCCGATAGTTATCTTTGAAATCCGTATTTGAAACCGTTAATAACGATGAATTTTTTATTTTTTTCACTGAACATCACTTCCATTTTATTGCACGCTCTAGGTTAGTTGTCACAAGACTGACAAAATATAATCAATCTATTAGATATAAAATTATATTTATAAACTTTCCTAGACATCGTAAAACCTAATAAAATATAAGATTATCGATTGTACATATACGTATCTTGTAAGAGTGAGTTGTAGACTGATAAACCGATAAGTTATTTTATTCGAGAACCAATTCGAACAATTGTATACTAGAAAGTTTTTTTTTTGGGAACCAATTCATTCACAATTAATTGACCCGGGAACCAATTCTACGTTTACCGAACGTAATGTAAATTACTTAGATTAAAACACATAATAAAATATTTTGCGGAACGGTGTCTGACTAGTATGAATTATGCTTACCTAATACTCGTAATTTGAGAGTACAAATTATTTTTCTATGCTAAGTAAAAGTTTAGGCTTATGGCCGCTGGGGTTCTTGAGATCGTTGTATTTTTTTATTTGGCCTGAGTAAAATTTTAGAAGTTCGGTGCCACTGGGCTATAGATAGTACCTATGTACCTACGACGGAGACGTTAAAACATTGAGTAACCTGCAGTACCGACAAGTAAAATACATTTCTACATGCATTTCAAATATACAAAACAAAAACTTACCTTGGATCATTATCAATGTTAATAAAACGTTATACAATAACGTTGGTTCCAAAATAGAAAAATTTTAAGCTAATATTTTTTTATGTTTACAAAATAATTTTAAGTTGGAACTCTTTTAATAGGACAGAGTTTGAAATATAATTTTTAAATTACAATCAATAATATTATAATAAAATTCATTATTTTAACATTCTAGAGTTCGTTAGTTTTAACATTAAATTTACAAAAATATAAAATAAATTCAACCATTTTAAGTTAACTAATTGTTTTTGTTTCCGTCGTACTATGACCGTCATTAGGGCAGGGTGAGAGTGGCCCTCGACCCGGGCCCCGCGCTCTCACCATAGTTGGACAGACCTTTCATAGATACAATAAAAAATGTACCTATCATTTTTTTTCGTGTAAAATTATTTATTATATAATTAATTGATTTACTTATTCATATTGTTGTAAGTGCAAGGTACTATATCTGTTAAGAGTATTTGCACACACTTGAGTTCCAATAACAACTTACGCGCGATAGTGACATTTTCGGTATTTAAGGCCCCACAATTTTACTCTGCCCCGAGCCCCGCAAATTATTAGGACGGCCCTGCGCCGTACCATTAGAATTTTATTATATTTAGAAATTATGGACTGGGTTTTTATCAAACATCAATCGAATTCTCATATTCTAGAATAAAAAATATAATTTTATTTATTACACCAAATTAGGTACTAACTTAAATTATTAGAATAGTTAATATTCTGTGAAGAACACTTTATTCCACTTAGTTGAATAAATTAAAGACAAAATATAATTCACGGATGTAATAACACTTAAACATTTCTAAAATATAATTTACAATAATGATCACGAATTTTTAGAATAAAATGCTTCATAAATCGAATTGGGGGTACTAAAACTACCCACTCAATACGCCATTATATGTTCACGAAATGGCTCAATATTCTCGAAACATTCACTTGAGAAGTACATTTTTTGACTTATTAACCTTACTTGAAGGTAAAGCCTGATTTACACTAGGATATTACTCGGCCGAGTCACTAAAGCATGTTACTAATTTTTGTTTACTTGAACAATGCAGACATACTATTTAGTTATTATTCCAGCGATGATTTTAGTAAACATTTTAGTCGAGTAAATAGAAAACAACTCTATTTTTTCCATCTAGTGGTCTTTCCACTAGCAGCTAACAATTTACTAAACCAAGGTAGACACTACTGTTAGAACTATTTTAGTGCTAAATTTAGTAAAAACGTTGCGAATAAACAGGTTGTCACATTTGTTTATGTGTTATATCACTTCACTTTCTTTTTGATTTGTACCTACTTATTATTTACTATCATTTTTTATCCCGACTGATTTTGTATAATTTTTTATTTAAGATTATTCAATATTTATACGAATCATAAGTGGAACGAAGATACTACATTAAAGTTTGTAGAATATCGTCAACACGAATGCCTTTGGAACATGTATTATAATTTCTATAAAAATAAATAAGCACTTGATACTGCCTGCACTTCAATTGTAAGTGTTATGAACATACCAGACTTTGGAATTGCGGAAGAAAAAACTAAAATTAAAAACTTACGTTCAACCTACTCGCAAGAGTTTAAAAAAATTTAATGTTCCAAGGAATCGGGTGCAGGAACAGATTACTTGAACACACCACAAGTGAAATGAAAGAGATGGAAGAATTTTTGCAAGGGAAAGGCAATAAAAGAAACACTATAAATAATATATAAAATGTAAAATGTTGTATACGTATGTAAAATCAGAGCCGTGTTTAACGGGAGGCAAATTTTTGAGGATCAACATAAAATAAAAAA